GGTGTTGTCTCCAAAATCAATACTATTGGGTACGATAATGATTAAAGCGTGAAGTTGAGAAGCCGAAGCTAACAGGAAGCCTCTTACCCTATGGAAATCCTTTGTAGTCTGAGCCACATAGTTGTATTTTATTTTATCCCTCAGTAACCAGTTCCAAAATTAGATTATTCTCGTGATTTTAATTGAACGATCCGATCAAATTTTGCCCACAGCCTGTCCCACTATATACTTATCGCTGTTGCGTGACAAAACATCTCACTGGCAGATTCAGTGAGGTGGCAGCCAAAATAGCGCCAAACTCAATTTATTCAGACCGTATTGAAGACATTTTGTCATGTATTGCGACATAAATTTAGGTTATTTACCTGACAGGAAGACGAATTACATCATCTTCCATGAATTTGAAAGAGTCTGGAGAAATTTTTTCCGTATTTTCACTAACAGCGGAAGTTGAAGGTAGGCCACCGGCGCACATCAAATGAAATGTTTCTATAGCCTAAAAAGGGACTGTGACAGATTGGTTAGACGAGAAACTGAAGTGGCATGTTCTATTCATGTGAAGAATAAAAATCCTGCACTTTCTCTTCCACGTCTCCTTGATAAATTTGGCTAAGATTCCAATTTGCTGCCCATGTTCGCGCAAAACGGAACATGTAAAAAGGAAGATGTCGTTACCTTTCAGTGTATATTGCCTTTCAGAATAATTTTACCAGCAGTTTGATATATATAGGATATATTTATTGAATTGGGCTGGGGGAGGAGGGTCTGCTCTTTTAAAATGACTTGATGAATTCTTAGAGGAACAAAAAACAATTTCATTCTGTTTATAGAACGGTAGTCTCTTTGCCTCTTTGTGTTTGTGTCTTTTTGTCGTGTGTCGTTTTTAAGTAGTCTGATACATATGTAGGCGTGGTAGAGTTTTGCTAGATCTTCATTTTCAAGATCTTCTCTTTTTCACGACCCTAAACTGTGTGCCGATTGACACAGCAAAATTAGCATTGTGCCATCATACACGCCGCTTAGTATCCGCCGTGTCATTTTACCCCCAGTCTGATTATCTAGCGTGTCATTTTACTGTGCCAATGCGTTCACCTCAGCACACGTTTTCCCGAGGAGGGTTACAATTGTGAAATTTCAGGTGCTAATAGTTTATTTTTCCTATGGCGGTGGTGCTCGAAGGCTATGGGCCTTTGCTTTTATCTTTTCTAATGTTGACAGAATGTTAAAAATCTTCGGACTCTTCGGACCTGTTGCCGGACTCTGATGCGAAGAAAGGTATATTGTACTGCGCGTTCTTTTTACAATCTTTACCAGCCTCGTCATAGTTTGCCCCTCCAGAAGGGTTAAAGTCGGGAAACAGCTGTATTGGACAATTTGGTGTTGTGCGTTTTGCACCATTGAAGTGGAACATATTAATCGTCTAGGGATCCAACAGACCCAATGCCTAGTAAAAGGAAAATTCACAAAATTAAGAATGAGGAAATGTTAATTTGTTGAGAATATGTGAAGGTGTAGTCTGATCGTCCGGGTGAGTGTAGTCCTGAGAAGGACTGTTGTCGGTGGCAGTGACTGACGTTTCGACAACCTGTGCGGAAGTCATCATCAGAGTCAAGTGAATGATTGTTGTCAGTAGAATGTTCTTATTCCAGTTCGTGTGAAATGATCGGTTGGTTTTGCCGTGATGTTATTGGCTGTAAGACTCAAGTGACGTAAGTCGGTCGTGATTGGTCTGTTTCG